TCTGTTTCTTTACTCTCTGCAGGAGGGATGAGGATAAGCTTTGCAGCCGCCTTACAGAGCGCATCATTTCCTCCTTCAGGGTTGTGCTGTTTATTATCCAAAGTGGGCCAGTTACGTTCTGCTCCTCAACAGATTGCATATTCGATTTGCAAAATTTTATAGTGTTCTCTAATCTGGTGTTTTGTCAGATAAGCAGATAGCTTCATTCAGAGACGATCTGGCAACTGCACCCAAATTAGTTCACATATTTGTGGTCTGAGTTTTTCCTCTAACACTTGTGACACCACCTATAGTTTGTAGCAAAATTCTCTCAGCTGAGCAATTTCACAGTGCAGATGTGTTCGTACTCTTTGAACTTTTTTCACATTTTAGCACGTCGTAAACACAAACCTAAATGTGTTCTATTGAGATGGTATGTAAGAGACAAAGACCATTTCAGTAGTTATAAAGTAAAAGAACAGTGACACTTTGTTTTGATTTTTTTTTTTTTAAGAAGATGGCATATATTTGCATTTAGTCACTCCAAGTCAAAATGTTTTAAAACCACATTTTGCTAAAGTTGCAGTTCTTTCAGAATGCAATAAAATAATCTATTATTAATTATTTATGATTGATAGGAACTATATATATATATATATATATATATATATATATATATATATATATATATATATATATATATATATATATATAAACTTGTGAAACTGTGTTTCTTATATTTTTTATGTTTTTTTTTTTATTTGTAAAAAATTATGATATCCATTCATTATTTTTTTTCTCCATGTTACAGTTATGTGCTACTCTATATAGATATAACGCAAAACTCCCAGTAAAGGATGTTTGCTTTGTGGTTTTTATGTGGCAAAATGTTTAAGGTGAATGAAGACATTTACTTTAACAAATATATGTTTAAATCTCAGTAGTGGAGCAAACAAGTTCAGAGAATGTGTCAAATATTATAAATATTTCCTGTTTTTCTGGAGTGGAATTGTTTTAAAGAACAAAACACACACACACACACACACACACACACAAAAAAAAGGTATGTGCCAAAACCCTCATGAACTGAAGAGACCAGAGTTTCAGAAAGGCTAATGTCTCTTTTGGCTTTATGTCAGAAAAGTAGGAATGTGTCTGAATTTGAGTGTGGGTTTTACCACTCAGTAAACCTCTTGGCATCTGCTTTGAGTTAATTTGGTACTCAGAAAGAGGGGAGACCAATTTTCTGGTTGAAAAGGTTGCCGTCATTTCACATTTTTCCCCCTTTACATTCATAAGAGTGTGTTTGTCCATTTTTATTTCTCAACCCAATGCAAGTCGTCATATAATAATGTGTTATTGACTGAAGCTCGTCTTGTGTTTTATCCCTCAGGGAAGCGATGCAGACTTTGAAAATGTGTATGAACAGTGCCTACGCTGCTGCAAAGCTTTCCTGGAGAAGAACTCCTAACAAGATCCCACCCTGAAGCACATTTAAATCTAAGAGAAGAACCTGCATAATCAACCAACCTGATACATCTTGGTTGTCACAAAAGCACTTATCAATATAACTGTACCATGACTGTCAGAGATCACTACAGTGCTGTGCTGCAGTATTGTAGATGTCTTACCAGTGACATTTAGAGCAGTGCTGCTTCTTCTGGTTTACTTGGATCATTAAAGTGAATCAATCTAATTGAAAAGGTGTTTCATTTGTTCACAAATCCATCTTCTGAATTTCTGTACATTTCCGCAATAGGTTAAATGTAGTTTTGTTAAAGCCTCAATAAATATGGGTGGAGAAAAGGGAGGCGTATTTATGAAATCTGTGAAAAATGAGAAGGGAAAAATAATGGAATTCTTTCAGAGGGAGTATTATTTAAAATCAGAAATTAAGCTTTATATGTTGTCATAATGTTATTCCCTCTTTAAAGACATACATGAAGTGTTGCTTTGATTCTTTTGTGAATGTTTGAGAACATTTTGAATCTCCTGTGGTAGCCGTTCGGGTTCCTTAGCCTAGGTTCATGCAGTGCACCTACTATTTACCCAAACCTCTTCCTTGTGGTTGTAGACCCAATTAAGTTTCTGCCTCACAAGGAACCTTTTTCCCCAGGCCATACTCTCATGGCTCCTGTAGACTAGCGGCAGCAGCAATTAGCAAACACCTGTTGGAACTTTGCTTCGTCTGAGTTTATCATACAAACTGCTTCTAAGTCCTTCTTTGCTATGAATGGCTGCAATTGGAGTCAATAGACGGCACAGAGAAATGTTGCATTGACATGCTGAAGGGGAATTGTTGAATAAGGTCCTAAGAAATGGAGGCTAATTTGAAGAAGTCAAATTGAAGGAGTCACATATGGCTATGATGCAAAATCAAATTTCTTTGAAGCTGTTTTTGATACAAACAGTATTTTCAGAAAAAAAAACCTAAGATAGCATAGCTATAAAATGGCTGAGCCTGAAAAATACATAATATCCCACCTTTAAGGGAGGAAAATGTGAAAAAAAATACAAACTTTGTGAATCACCAAATAATTTAGATTCAGCACTCGAATCTTCTTCAGTACAGGTCTTTCTTAAAATAATTGTTAGCCATCAGAATCATTGAATGTGGGTGTCCCTAAAACATATGTGGCCATAAGAGTATAAAATCCAGCATGGATGCTAATGCTACAAAGTTTGTGAAACAAGGGGTCGCTTTCAGGAGATCAGTAAACTCCAGCATGGTACAAGATGCTTCCTGTGCAGCAAGTCTAATACTGACATTTTTCCACTATTACATATTTAGCAGTCGACTGTTTGTGGTAAACGGCGTGAGGTGATGCTGAGATCCGGGGTAGTTGGAGGTTGCCAACTTTCTGCAGTCAGCAACGTACCTCCCATCTTCATGTGGCCTTAAGTTTAACATAAGAACGGAGACTGGAAAGCTTGATTCAAACCTCACATCACCAAATTCAATGAAATGTGTTAGATGTAGTGGTGTAAAGCAGTTTGTCACTTCGGTTCTCTGTAGTGATAAATCATGGCAATCCAATAGACAAGTCTGGGTTTGGCAGTTGCTAGGAGACCAGCACTAGTCTGACTACATTATGTTAAGTGTGAAGCTTAATGCTGTGGAGACTGACTCAGGGCTGTTTTTCAGGAGTTTGGCTTCACTCCTTGGTTTTAGTGAAAGGATCTGGCAATTTCTCAACATACCAAGACATTTTGAACCTTTGAATGCTCCCAACTTTGTGGGAACAGTTAGATGATGGCTTCCTCTTGTTCCAGCATCAATGTGCACCAACGCACACGAGAAGCAGTCCGGTGTGGAACTGCTTCCCAGGTCTGTTAAGACCTTTGGGATGAAGTAGAGCAATGGCTGTGAGGTAGATCTTCTTGTCCAACATTGGTGTCTGACCTTCCAAATGATATTCTGGAATAATGGTAAAAAAAATAAATAAATAAAAAAAACTTCCCATCAGAGAAGAAAATTAATCACTGCCATTAGCTGTCATGAAATTATTGTTTTTTGTCAGTCGCTGCTTATTCATCAGGGTTGGTGTTTCTCCCACAAGCTGTGTCTTTCCACTACTCACACAAATGACCTATCAGCCTCCTCATGGTAGGCTTATGATTTCATCACAGATGGACATGGGCGAAACAGATGAAAATCATATGTGGGTGGGGTTGAAGGAAAGATGAACCAGCTGCTTAATGGACGGTCTCCATCCATTGACAACTGTAGGACCATAAATACCAGAGTTGTTCATGTATCTGTCAAATTATACATATTAGAGCCAATGTCCTGTTCATCTCGGAAATCAAATGTAAAATTAAAACTCTAATCAAATTCTCCTTTTTTATGTTAATTTTGACACTAGCACAATCCCAATCATTGCGGGGGAAAAAAAAAAAAATCAAAGTGTTTCTAAAAAATGGTGGACACCCTCGAGACTGATACAGCGTTCTAGTTCAAGGGGAACCAAATAACCTTTTGGTGCACCAGCCAGGTGTTGTAAATTACAGCCGACTCCATCCAAAAGCTGTTGGAGGAAATGTCTCAACACCAAGAGCACCTCAGCAAAATGTGCCTAAGGCTGCCACAGGTGCTTGTGTTTCCAATAGATTTCACAGAGGATATAACTTTAACAGATTTTTTCTCTGACCACTGTTGACAGCATGTTGGCATGGAAAACATTTCCATCCCTGCACCATCATTTCTAGTGCAGAACATCTGTAGGCTTAACCAACATTTAAGGGCATAAAATGTTTGAATTTTGCTGTCTTTATCGTACCTTTGAAACTTTCTAAAATATGTTGTCACTTTACAACCACACACTTCAGTGTAGGAGAAATAATACATGGGTGGTATGAGTTTCTCAATCGGTGAGTTGCTGGTTCGATACCGTTCTCTCCATCATGTCTTTGGGCAAGAGGTATGGGTTTCAAAGTAAGGGAGACTGAATACAAATCCATGCCACACCATTCAGATTTTTTAAAATTTTATCATTCTCCCAACACTTCTGAAGTATTTGATACATTGTGTTGGTCTGTCACAGCAAAAAATATTACTACTACTGCTACTAATAATAAGAAGAATAATTGGTGTATTTAGTTTTTCAAGCCACTGCATATAAAGGGAACTTGATGAGTAAGTTAGCAACCCTCAACAGAAATCTGTTGTTTTACACTGTCGGTGCAATAAAACATCGAAAAATATCCTCACTCGCAACCTGGAAAGTGATCACATAAACTGATTTTGCAACACTGTTTCAAACGAAGCGAAAGAAAAATGGAAAAAAAAAAAAAAAATCCTTGGCTCTCATTTGAGTTTGAACTTTTTTTAGCATCTCCGTCTGAAGCAGCACTTGGGAATTTCACCGGATCAGCTGTCCCAGGGCTCAGTCCAGTCATGCGCTCACTCAGACAGCATTCCTCATTTTAAGATGGGAACACAGGAGAAAATACAGCACAACAAAGACAAATTATTTTGTAACAATCTCATAATTTATTTAAATATATCTCATTATCTCATTTTTAAATATATATATATATATATATTTATATATACTCATATATAGATATACACTTTTACATATATAACACTTTTTTTTTTTTTTACTAAAGGCCAGCCACGTTCTTTAATGGTGGATTCTTCCTATGGTTGTGTTTACTGTATATACATTACACTCCTGGTTGGACAGATCATGACCTATGATTTATGTAGGTCATGATCTACATAAATCATACAGATTTATGTAGATCATAAATCTACGTGTTTATGTAAAATACATAAACACGGTCTTTAACTCGCAGTACCCAGGGTTAGTCTATCCACAGGTTGGCTGTGGCTTAAAGCCACCACTTGTGTTTTTGGTTTTGCAGAAAAAAAATGTTCTTGCAATAATTTAACGACAGTTCATTCTGAGCACAAGTGGGTGACTAACGCTGTCACCAGCTGGGGGTCAGCGAGAACTTCTGTTTTTAGATTGTGATAGTGCAGTAGAAGAAGGGCCAATGTCAGCCTAAAACACTCAACAAGGGCAAAAATGTCTCAAAAGGAAAGTGATTCTTGTTTCTTGTTATTTGTTTAAGCAACATCCGTTTGAATTCCAGTGCGGTGTGGAAGAAAAGCCCCCGACTTTGCTTATCTTTGCCAGCTCCTCTCTTCACTCTTCACCTGCTCTGTGTTTTTCCTCGACTCGATGCTCCCGTGTAATGACAGCTAACCCGTTGAGGCCCAGCCAAAGTGGAGATTGGCAGCAATTTTCACCTCAGCAGAAGGGACGCGAGTGAAGCAAAAACGCTGTGCCCTAAAGTCAGACAGGCCGGTCAGATTTAGGCTTCCCTCTCACTGTCCAAAGGCACTTTTTCACCAATGTATTTCTTTTTTTGTTTTTGTATCTTTTCTTCTGAAGCACACATTTGACTTCAACCTGAAAATCAGAAAAAGGCAAAAGTAAGGATGGCCTTCAGTCAAGCAATGCTATAAAACAATCACAAATGATAAATGAGGAAACTTGATTTGTAATAGAGCTGAAGCTCTCACTGTGCCACTACAAGGGCCTGTGTGTGTTGATACAGCCAGCATGTTAAAACCAAGAGCAAATGTCTGAGTGTTTCTTGAGCAACATGATCTACACTCTGAACACAGTTCCAATTCAAGCTGAGTTTTATGAGTTACGCCTGATTATGATCATTTGCTGTTTACGAGTGTTTGGCAGAGTGGTGGGAAGCACCTCACTTATGAGAAAAAGCCTCAGTTTTAGGAATGCTCCAATGTACGGTAAAGGCCTGCATGCAAAAACCCAACTGGCTTTGATCCATTCTTCTTTGGCATGTTCTTGAATTATTTCAGCACTACCTACTAAGACGGTGTTCAGCTCAAAATATCTGGGAATTATATTGTTAATGTGTTCATTTGTAACACGATGCAGAGTGATTAGGAGAACTGTTGTGCTTCTTTTCCATAAATAGTCTGACCAGATGTGAACATAAACACCAGTGATCCAAAGTTTTAATGAGCATTTTAGAAAAAAAAATAAAAATAAAAATAAAAAAAAATAATAAAAAAAAACAATTACAGCACAACCTTTTTGACCTTTTTCTGTATTGTGCAAAATCACGGTTTTAAAAATGGACCATCTGAACAGACTTTTATTTAGCATAGCAAATTCCTATTCAAGTTATTTATTTACAAATGTAATAGCAGTAAACAAGTTGTGGAGGCAAAGTCACTTATCTGACTTGTAGACATTTGTTCAGACAGTTTTCAGAGTGTAATGTTTCAATGCAATTCAGAAAAGTTGAGCAGGAAAGGCTGTTTGTCAATTATTGATTGATTGCTTTGCAGTTGCACAGACAAAAGCAACAGAGTGATTTAACTTCTGACAAAATTTTGATTGTAACATTATCTGCCAAGCTACAAATACCTTCCTCTCAGTGATTTTTTTTTATTTAAATTTTTTTACGTTTTCTTGTTGCTGTAACTACAAAAGTTAAGTTTTTAGATCTTTTTACAACTGAAAGCTCGATCGCCTCAAGGAGCTGTGACTTCATTAGCTTATATCATAGGCTCGCTGTGTGTGTGTGTGTGTGTGTGAGTTGAAGCATTGTAGTACCTTTTGAGTGTGCACGCGCTACCCTTCTGTGCACTGCGGGCTGCCCGCGAGCCGTGTGAGAAGTCGCGCACATCTTTTGAAGTCTGAGAAAGAGAAAACACAAAGAGAAAGACTGAATCATTTTCTTTTCACGCAGTGTGTTGACGTTGGATGGTGATAGCTTTCCCTCCTGGTGCAGGAGGTCCAGGGCAATCGTGGCTTACATGCAGGTAATGTGCAGTCTCTGGTGTGGTGGTAAAGTCTGTACGCGTTCTTCCTGCACTTGGAGCTGAACACGAGGGGACCTGACGGAGAAGGAGAAACAGGGTCTTTGAACGCATTTCTAACGTTTGCATCCATCTTCATCAACATCTGCTTTGTGGCTTTAGTCCAACTTTAGGGACTATGCATTTTGTGTGGCATAAAGAAGTATAAGCTAAAATGCAAATTGGTGAATTTTTGGTGTACTAGAAAATATGAAACTAGGAAATATATCATTTAAAAACATCCTAAGCAGGATCAGTTCTTCATTCTGTTTTTAATCAGACATTAAATTTAAGTTTAGCCACAAATACACTAAAACTCCAAATATTCTGTTCTCTATCACCTCATAACTAAAGGTGGAGCGTTGTATGGCAAGCCATTAGGGCCAAATATTAGCACTTTTTTCAAACTGGCTAGTAACAAAATTATGTAAAAATTGTAGTTTAATTAGCCAGATTGCTGTATTTTACACCGGTCAAATGAAGTTTACATGACTCCACCTGAGCAGCAATAAGAAAAAAAAAAGCTTGATGAGTTGCTTAGCAGCAAAAAACAACATAATTTTACCAAGTCATTGAAAGCTTCGTTTTGTCATGCAGCTTAACAAATGACATCATTTAATGAGCAGCAGGAAAGTGATAATGGTATTTCTTTTACCTCCAAGCAGCAGAGAACAGTGTCGTCCAATTAATGAACACCACTTTTTACACTTAGCAGCTCAACAATTAACACTTTTTTACAAACTGCAGAAAAAATAAAAACTATTTATTTATCTTGTTTACCTCTGAGTAGCAAAAAAAAAAAAAGCTGTTTTATCCCTCCATTGCTTAAAGGTTATTCAATATGAAGCTGCTTGATATAAAATACCTTTCTGTTGGGGTTTTCAATGAGGGTTGTGTCCTGCCTAAATTTACGTTTATGTTTTTATTGTTTCGTTACCAAATATGTTATTTGACAATAGTAACTTGACATACTGGAATACCTCGACAAAGTGCTGATGGGGGGCAGCAGTGGTGAGCAAAACCGGAAGTTTTATTTTAATACGTTGGCTGAACTGAAACAGGAAGTGCAATAATGGGCACAAATAGCTCGCCATAGATCACTTCAGTCCCTCCGTGGCAAAAAAAATATCAGACTCGAACTGAAAACACATCTTAGAAAAGAGGAACATTTTAACAGGTTCTTACCTGTGAAATATTTGATTATTCTCTCTTTCATTTTGTAATCTGTAGGGGTTAAAACTGCGGGAGGAGAGAAAACGAGAGAAAAGGTTACACACTAATTAAATGAAGGATATCTAGGCTAACACCAGCACAAATAAAGTTCTACGCCATGCTATTGTCACAGTGTTTTATTTGAGGGTCATGGTCCACTCACCCAGGGCCTGGTTCCCTTTGTCCGTCTTGCCGCGGAAGTCCCTCTGCTCTACCGACGCGCTGCCCACCGCCCGCGGCGTCAGCGGGGCTTCCGTCCTTGCTGCGTGTCGCCCCCGGTTATCCTCCACGTGCTTCATAATCTCCACCATCCGCCTCAAACTCCGCGGCGCGTCCCCGCCGGCCGCCGCGGTGGGCGCGCTCTCGCCGCAGTGCTCGGTTAGAGCGCACATCAGTAACAGCAGTCCCACAACAACGGGTTTGCGCGGTGCGCTCATAGCTCCAGTGTAGTGAAGAAAGTGGAAAGTGGACGCAAGGGGGGAAAAAGTAAACTCTCTTCTTTTTGAAGACCTGAGGGATGAGATTGAGGACGAATTTTAAATATTGGCACTCTTAAATGACCAGAATCATATTATTAAGTAGAAGCCTAACATATCCATGCAACCTAACGTACGGTCAGGTCAAACATCTTAGTTAATAAACAAAATAAATAAATAAAAATAAAATAAAAAAATCTTAACACTTTTTAATAAGTATGGTTTTAGATTACAGTTTTAGTTGTGAAAAGTGTCATTACCTTTTCAAAGTTCTCCTACGCTCTGACTACGTCCGGTGCGTCCTGCCAAAACGATGCACATGTGCGTAACTTTTTTTTTTCTCTCTCTCTCTCTTTGTTGAGTTCCCGTCCTGATCCCAGTAAGTGTTCACTTTAAAAAAAAAAAAAAAAAGAAAAAGCCGGCTCCTGTTTGCGTAGAGTTAAAGCTACGGAAGTCATATGTGTGGTCGCCGAAGGTTGGCGATCATCCTCCAAGGATCGGACGTGCAAACGCGTAAAAAGAAGAACAAGAAGAAGAAGAAGAAGCTGATATTATCCCGTGTGGCGCTCCAAGTTCCAAGTTTGCCCCCTCTTGTGCGTTCAGTCGCTTTTTATTCTATCTCCCCGACGGCGGGGGGAGAGGACTGTCCCCTGTGGACTACTCCACAAATTTATGTGGTAATTATTGGAAACGGTACCTGAAGAGGAGAGTTAACACGAGTTGTCCGATCGTCCCTTGAATGCTGTGTCAAGTTTACTGAGCCCCCCCCCCCTCCCCTCTCTCTCCTCCTTTCCGTTACTCCATTTATCTGTGCGATATACGCGGTTACAGGAAGCGTCTGTCTTCCACTAATACTTCCACTGAAATTTCCAATCAGCCCAGCGTGCAGCGCAGATGCAGCACATCTTAGTGGAAATGCTGCCATATCCTTCTTGGGATCCTCATAACCTCATTTAGAGCCATTGCGCGCTTTACATCCATCATGGAAAATTGAAACCCAATTATGCACCTTTTAGGGACAATTCTTTGAAAATTGATTGTTTGTTTTGTTTTAAATTCGTTCCCGGTGGGTTTCTCGACAGAGCAAGCCTCTGGCCGAGGTTCGTCCTCGCTGGAGACTGTCCTGCTGCTGGGGCTGGAGGAGCTTTCTTAAAAGTCGGGGCGTGCGACTGGCTCCCACGCCCACCACTTTCAAATCTCACAAACCTGCAAGGGGAGACATAACTTTGAGAAGAAATATTCATTCACCCCAAACTTTGCTACCTAATAAGAGAAAGCAGGATACAGAAAGCTTATGAGCTACTTGGAATCTTTATGAAACTAACCCAAATAACTGGCGCATAGTTTGCTTTTTTTTTTTTTTGTCATAATCGGATAAGAGCATTTTATGGAGGTAGTCTCGTAATTTCCCTGCAAAGTTCAGCGAGGAAACGACCTTGCCGCCTTGCTTTAAAGAACAAACCATGGGTGCTGAAAGGACAGCGCACTGTCACCATTCTCCGAAGTTCTTTACTGAACTGTGCTTTGTTTGTTTTTTTTTGTTTTTTTACGCATTCCTGGCTAAGGGAGTCTGCACAAAGTTTTTAAAAGGGTGGCCAGAAGTGTAGTGGCCGAAGAGAAAAGAAATAAACGATGACAAAATACAGGTGATATCTGGTTTCCCTGCTGATTCATACCGTCATCAGCAGATTCGACCCTGTTCTGTTGGGAATCGGTAGTCAAACTTATTTCAAGGCTCATGAGAAAAAAAAACCCCACTGAGGCAGGAACATGTTTGCTTTCCAATGAGTATTAGCAGATTTAGAGCAGAGATTTGCGTACGAAGAGAGTTAATGGGGTCTGACTGTATTTATTTATTTATTTATTTATTTATTTATTTATTTATTTATTTGTGAAAGCTGAAAATCTTATGTATCTGCTGAGGTGTTTAAACGATGACATTTATCTGTAAATTAGTGAGATGGTTCTTCTGGAAATTTCTGGTAGATCTACAGTTGCTGAAAACCTCATATCAGGTCATGTTTACATCCCTAAAGGGAGTAAGTTGCTGCCATGTGATTGGCTGATTCTCTATTTGTGTTAACACGTCAGATAGATAGATAGATAGATAGATAGATAGATAGATAGATAGATAGATAGATAGATAGATAGATAGATAGATAGATAGATAGATAGATAGATTTTCTTTGTTTATTTTTGACATAATAAAAAAATTAGGACATAATTTTTATTTTTATTCTTTTACAAATAAATGAAGACATTGACAGTTTCAGCAGAGGGCGTCATTCTGCAGTTGCTGCACACACTCATGCTGTTCACATAAGCAAACCCTCAGCAGTGCACTGAGCCAGCATGTTTGAGGAAATTTGACTCATGAGATATTTACATACAAATGGATTACCAAAGTACCATTGTGAAAACCAATCAGATCAAATTACACCACAGGATCCACATCTGCTTTGTTGGTCAGCTGTGCGCCTTGCATCGTAACAGATCTCACTCACCGAAGTCACTGTGTAGCATAGGAAGGGTGAGAGGTTTGAAAAACTTAAATGCAAAGTAAAGAAAAAAAACATGTTTGAGACACAAGACCTGGAAACTTTGTCCGACCTTTCCAGAAAGGCAAACAGAAACCCGATAAGGGTTGGCTTAGATCACAAATAAAGACAAACAAACTTCATATTAAATTTTTTTTCTAGCATTCTGAATGAATGAAAAGAGCAAAAATGGTCTTCGAATCATGCATTTTTCAGTTCACCGCTGCTGGAAATATCCAAGAATCCTTTCTGTTTCTCATTATGTCTTTATTGGTCGCATTTTTACATGCAAAAGAAATTATGAAAGGCTTACCATTTGAATATTAGCTTGCTTAACCTCAATAATAACCTTAGTCAACTTTCCTTAGTGGTCACATGTGAAGCAGTGCTCTCTGCCATGTTTCATTCAGTGAGTCAGGCTCATGTGAGTTCAAGTGAACCATGAACGGTAAAATTTCCCAGATCCTACGGGGTTGTGTTGCTTCTTTCAACATTGTATTGTAGCACTTTCTATTTCCAAATGACCTTTCTGCAGTTTATCTGCTTGTCATGAGCAGATGTTATACTGTGGTTGTTTCTTGTCCAAGTTGATTCTGTCTCTTTTTGACTTTGAGAAAACAGAACTGTTCCGTCCTTTCATAAATGTTGAAATTTATTTAGCTTTGTATCAGTTCCTCCCCCCCTCTTCATTCGTGGGGTTGGCTAAACTCGCAGCACTAATGATTATGACTTTTAAAGTGAACTCTGGGCTTGAAAACACATTTTCTAAATTAGGTGAAAACAGGAAACACGAACTTTCAGTTTCTCAAAGGAATTGGTGTATCATAAAAATGAAAAAAGTGAACATCTGTGGAAAGAATATCCATATAAACGGATGTTTTTTTCATTAATTTCTGTTTTTCTTTTTCTCAAATTTAAAAATGATGTGAATCATTCACAATTAGTGTAGAAAACAATTAGTTTTGCAAAAGCATACAATATAGGTGGGAAGTTTACATTTGAGTATAGCTAAGGGCCATGCTCACCTACTCCACCTAAAGGAAAATAAGATAACGAATAACTTGTGCCTCACAATAAGTTATAGCAACGTGTGATTAACAGCAAACAAACCCTGGTCCCAGTAATCTGCGGGTGCCTTTTAACACTTGCAGCAATAGAAAACTTGTTCAGGGTGCCACTGGCAGAACAATTGACTTGCCAGCCGCCCATACGGCACATAGCAAAGCATAAAGATCCAAAACACAGATTAAATCTGGTTTAGAATGGATAAGGTAGGATAATGAGTGTAAGAGTGAACATTTGAGTTATGAAAATGTAAAATGTTTTGGAAATGGTTTATTTTGAAAGGCTCCCCAGATGGGGAAAAAGAGCGATCGTTCAATGACAGCTGAGTTTGGTGACAACTGATTGAGGAGCGGAAAAGAAATTGAATGTTCGAGAAACAGCTCAGTTGTTTCTTTGGATTATCCTACAAAGGAGAATCACAGTATCTGGACACCCACGAGTCTTACAATAGATGTCTGAAACTTTTGGACCTTGTTTAAAATCCCAGTCATCTCCAGGAAACCAAATAATATAAATAAACTAGATCAATTCTGCCAATAAGAGTATTCTCAGCATGATTGTGCTGAACTCTTATTGATAGTAACAAGATGTTTTTTTTTGTTTGTTTGTTTCCATTTCAATATGACTTTCAGGCACATGAAGATTACATGTAAACTTCTGAATATATCTATATATTGTGGTCAGTCAAAAAGAAACTAATTTTAGCATTCAGACATTCAATATTTTATTTGTAATTTACATTTGTTTTTGTTTATTTGTTTTGTACAGTAGCAATTCCTTTTCTTAGCATGGTGTTCATCCTCTTCTCATTTAAAAGCAGTAGATAAGTGGAGCTTTTAAAGTGAAAGTACGCTTTCATTAAATGTGACTCACAATCTTTTCATTCGCTTTGCTAATATTCTAAATATTTTTCTTTATTTTGGTTTCATTTTTGAAAACAGGTTTTTCATGTTCTGGAACCTTATTAATATTTTTATTAATACTTGGGGGGAAAAAGTTTTTAGAATACTAGCTTCAATGCTGACAAAAATCTTCCGTCACATTTGACCTTACTCTATTATTTTGTCCTAGACTTTATAAAAACAACACGGAACGTGTTGTAACATAAATTCTCTGTATTGTGTGACGTCACTTTATGAAACTGTCCTATACTGTTGCAAATCAATTCTAGTGTCTCTGCCTTCACTTGTGACATAATTTGTCTATTATGAGAGACATCAGTGTACAACTGAAATTTTGTACACATTCTAGAATCTTGGCCTGTGCTTGTGACATCATTGCTCTCCCATGGGTGACATCACATTATGTTTACCTTGACTTTGGCCAACAAGATCTGGAATTTTGGCCATTACCTGTGACATCACTTTTGACTTTTGTTTGTGACATCAGTTGACTTAAGTCTTTCAGAGGTTTCCAGGATTTAGATTTTTAACTGTGACTGGATTGCTTTCCGGCATGCAAGACTCTATTGTCATGTCCTTGAATTTTAAAAATCATTCTGGAATGCTTTGACATGTGAGATCATTCTTCTGTGATGTGTGACATCATTCCACCATGTTATTCTTAAAATTTCTGAAAACATTCTAGAAGCCTGGTTTTTACTTTTAACAGTGTTCCTTCACTCTAATGGTTTTGGTTACTTGAAGCCAATTGTGCTGCTGTTCAACCATGTCTTCCCTGGCAGGATCGATTCTTCTGTGCATGGAACCCTGTATTTTTGAAACAAGCCAATTTAGAAAAAAAAAAAAAAAAAAAATAAAATCCCCTCGTTTGTTTTTTGTTGAGAAATTTTTAATGAGCCCCCTTGGG